GACACACTCATCAATGTGATGTTTAAGGCTTGGCTTTCTTTTTATTTTTCCTCTCCTTATTAACTTATGTCACTGAGACCTTACATCTGAGGGCTCCATGACATTCTAGAACATTCCTGGTGGCGCCCAATCAATAAGGGTGTGGCTATGTTGAGGGAGGACTTGGGTACCCTGTATTCCGATCCCATTTACTCCCTTCCGCTAGTCGGGAACGTTGAACCACAGCACCGAGTCTGTTTTCATTTGAAACGAGGGTACAGTGGTCAATTAAACTAAATGAATGGCTATTAATCACCCCTCTGACATGCCAGGCAATGGTGCTGGCATGAGCCGCCTCTCCAAGGCACTCTACATAGGCTGCCCAGACCCGCGAGTGCCTGTTCACCTTGGCTGCATTAACAAGTCTCCAAGCATTGAGCAGGCCGAATCCATGCTGATGGCTGTGGCTGAAGCCGGCCTCGTTGGTGACCCAATCCGCGCGGCGGTCCTCGTACTGAAAGGACAGAGGGCCTGCTTGGGGGACCGCATCTCAGCGGCACCCTAACGTCCTAACGCTGGCCTCGCCACCGGCCCGCTTACCGGTCTTGCCCAGATGCATCCACTAAGGCAACTAGGAATGAATCCCCAAGGAGAGCCAAGCCCACAAAGGCCCAGACGTGTGAGGTCCCCCACCCAGGGAAAATGGCACCTGGCAGAGCAGGGACCAAGGAGCTCAGGTCTGCCTGGGGGGTTGGCCTAAAATTTGGGCCAGGCCATGTCGCTACCTGCTAGCATCTCACCTGGGTGGCTGTGAAGACAATGATGTGCTGGACATCGCGCCACGTGAGGCAGGGACGCACCTGCAGCATCAGAGCTATCATGCCAGCCGCCAGAGGGGCCGCGGCAGAGGTCCCCGTGTGGCCCTCAGTGCAGCCTGTGCCCTTCTGAAGGTCCCAGTCTGTGGTCACCTGGGAAGGGAATTGGAGGTGGGGAGTGGGTGAGAGGCCTCATTCAGAGGTATTCTGGGTGGAGGGGGGGACTCGCGGTGGCCCTGCATTTTGTGAGCTGAGTGTTTGACTAGAGGGAAGCCCTCGGGCAGGATGGGGAGAGGGGGGCCTTGGTCCTTCAGGGCTTACACAAGAACCACTGCAGAGCTGAGCAGAGCTCAGAGAGGCACTTACAGGAGTCTGGTTATGGGGGGAGGGGGAGAAGACAGAAAGGCTCTAGTGCAGAGAAGTTTCCCAACTCTCCCACCCAGTACCCATTTCCAAATGCGTCAGCCCAGCCCTCCGCCTCCCCAGCCGAGCTAGACAGAGGAAGTGGCCTCAGCCGGAGCTGGGGCGATAGTGCTGGCGCCCCATTCAAGGAAATCTGACT